GAGACAGACCCAGTAAAGCAGGAGACAGACCCAGTAAAGCAGGAGACAGACCCAGCTCTGCCCTCCCCCTTGTCTCAGTACAAACACAACTGAATCTCAAACCCAACCCCTGGGCGCGCTCTTGGCCCAACCCGTCACAGTGACTGTGTTGGATCTAACGCCTGCTAAACCTACACCTCCAGCCAACACTGGCTGCTCCTGTCAGGCACAGAAGCCTCGGGAAGTCCCAAAGCACAGCCCTACAAGCACAGACACTCCTACAGCTATGTGGGGACATTTATATCGTTCACCCACCACCCCCAATCTCCAAACCTGGCACAGAGCCCACCCCACCAGGCATTTTGGGGTTAGGGAGCAGCCTGTGTGACCCAGGGGCTGGAGTGTGCTGGGACGGGGCAGCAAGGCATGGGCTTGGCCCTCCCCTGAGCCAAAACAGAGCTGCCTGTGGGTGCCTGACCCGCTGTCTCAGCCCGTCCCTTGCAGTGGTTAGAGAAGGTGTGTTGGATGATGGGGAAGCAACAGGGAAATTCATAAAAAACCTACAATGCAACTGGAACAAACACCAAAGGAAAACAAACAAAATGTATCCCATCCTCACATCCCCTCTAATAGGTGCTGAGTCCCCTGGGTAGGGACACTGTCCAGTGCTGATCACCACTAGCCCCTCTCTGCCCTAAGGCAGCTGCCTGGGGGACACAACCAGTCCCAAAGCTCCAGTTAGCAAAAAGACCCTGGTCTTTCTTATTAGCAAGAAAAAAACAAATGGATTCCTGTTCATGGTTGGGGCCAGAGAAGGAGGAGGCAGCACAACTGTCTGTCACTCGGAGAATCCCACTGTGCATATTTTCATCTCTCTGTTACCTACGACGGTACTGCACTGCAGGTAGAAATTGGACCATTGTTACTTGGGTAAAAAATGGCTTTCCAACTAGCATGCAAAGAAAAAGTATCCCAAACCCCAACCCCTAACACTCATTCCCAGTCACTTAGATGTAGGAGACCTACATTTCAAATTGTTGCCAGCTACGAGCTCTAGTCAAGAAACCCACTTGTGACCTTTCCAAAGAAAAAGGGAGTTCTGCATTTTTGGGTCCAACAGCCACTGACAAACTGTGTCAGTTCAACCCACCAGACCTGCTTGTGCTCCTACGCATGCTGCTGGAAGTGAAGGGCCATCTCTGCCCACTTAGGAAGCACAGAGAACCCGAAAGAGCCCCTGAATGCAGCACGTGAGTGGTGCTGAGGATCCCAGTCTCTCTGCGGGAGGAGCCGGCTTTGCCCGTGGCACCCTCGCGCTGTCGGCAGCACCGCTCCGGCCACTGCTGGGGAACAAGGTCAGGGCAATTGCATATTCCACTGGAGGCAGCAGGAGAGCTGCCCTCGTAGGGGCCAGCCAAGTTCCCCCAGAGCCCTCTCTGCAAAGGCTCGTGTCAGCCCCAAGAGCCAGTTTGTGGCAATAACAAAAGTAAAACAATGAGGTACAGAAAGAAGGGCCCAGCACTGGGGAAAGACCGAGAAAGAAGAAAACAGCTTGAGCACTGCCAGAAATAGCAAACAACTGAAACCTTTTGAAACCTTTTTTCTCCTCCCTCTTTTCGTTTTCCTGTTGTGTTGTGGTTTTTTTTTTTTTTTCTTTTTTTGCCAAGGTGATTTAAATATGTCCTTTGGTTGTTGGTTGGTTGGTTGGTTTTGGCAAAGTGAAGCCCTCAGCCGCAGTCTGTTTCCTGGCTGTGCCAGTGAGTTACCGCCACAAGTGCTGCGGGGCGATGACAGCCACCGAGAGGAGGAGGAGGAGGGAGGCAGAAGGCAAAGATCTGCTGCTGGCCCCATTGACGCCGTGTCCAGACTGCTTAGGAATAGCGTGTGTTTCTGGCTGCCTGGTGCTGGGGCTCTTAGAAAGTCTTTTGCCGCAGACGTCGTCAGGACAGCTGTCCCCGCTCCCCGAGCCGCTCATGTCGTCACCTGCACAGAGACAAACACGGGCTGAGCCACGACTGCCTTCTTATGGTGGGACATGTCCCTGCAACCCCAGGGGGCTCTGCCTGCCAGCCTTGCCCCATCCTCTCTGCATTCTGCATCCCCCGCTGTGGGACACAAGCCCATACCTGACCTCCAGCTGACTTAACCACCCACTGCTGCAGCAGCTGGAAACCCATGGAGCAGACAGGAACCCCTCAAGCAGGGCTGGGCTGGCACTGGAGAGAGCTCCTGAGGTTTCAGGAAGGCACTGGGAGCAGCACAGGCTCCAGCCACCCCACAGCAAGTGGGCTGCACTCGAGCAGCCCCCTCGGCAGTTCCAAGCCAAAAGCCAGGCTGCCACAGCCCCCTCTCTGCCCCACGGGCCCAAGAGCAGGGACCCTGTGCAGGCTGCAGGACTCCCTGCTCAGCCCCTCTCGCCTGCGGGGACCTCTCCCATTCTGCTACACTCACTCGTGTCTTGGAAATCCACATCATTGCCGATGTTGGCGTTGCCCAGACGGTTTGTCATGATCTTTAGCTGCATGATTTGCTGGCGAATGGTCATGTCTGGCTTGGTGATGTCCACCTCCACCTCCGGGTTGTTGATCTGATTCGCTAGGCCGTCCCCCATCACCTCAGGCAGGTAACTGGGAAGGAAGGCAACAGGTTTAGATGACTCCCTCAGCTCACCTCACCTCTCCCTGTTATGGACACGGGTGATAATCCAGCCTCTATGAGCCCAAGAGAAGCTGCAGTCAGTGGGTTGTGGAACATCCTCTGTAGGGTGGTGTTTGCTGGGAGGCAATCACAGATGGCCAAAAGCCGTGCTACCATGGCCAGACCCCTGCAGAGCCTCAAGCTCATCCTGAGGCTACCTCAGCTTGCAGGAGGTGGCTGATGGCCTTGCAGCATCCTGGGTTAGGAAAGGATTTCCTGCAGGAAGACTCAGGCTTTGCTCTCAGACTGGTACCTGTGGACCCACAGTGACACTCTCCTATGGAAAAAGTCTGTGTATCTGGGAGGCCGAGGAGCACCTTCCTCCTTTCCTGGTTAAACCAGTGGGGATTGACACCTGGGACCACTGAATGCACACAGCCCAGTTCAACCCTTGGAAAACTTCAGTTATCTGGGAGCTGTCGCGCTAACCCTGGCCCTCCTGCAGATCTGTGACACTGTTGGCAGTAATGTGAAATATGGAAGAGCTAAAGGTGTTGGGTCTGGGCTGGCAGAGCCCAGCCCAGCAAGTCCATGGAGAGAAGTGGAGAAAGATGCAGGTCCAGCAGCTGCCCATCTCCTCTCAGACATCCTTTAACCTCAGCCAGGGTGGGAACTATTTCTGCAGCTGTTTGATGTCATCTGGGTGCCTCCTCTCATGAGGAAACAGCATTTCAGAGCAGGTGGGGACAGAGAGACATGTATGCAATTCTCCACAGCAGCTCTGGAGTTTGTTTCTGCAACAGATTTAGCTGGAGCTAAATTCAGCTCTGTTGCCTTCTGAGTGCATGTGGAATTGCAAAACTGCTTCAGAAGAAGAAAATTACAGTTATTTCATGGCAAATGCATTTCAGTGCTTAATCCTCTGACACACAGCAAAATGGCACCAGGCCTGACATTCCCATGTACCAGTTTTTCAGGAAATGCAACATTTCTATGGACAGGGACAGACTGCTCACTCTGAACAAGTGGGGCTGGCTGTGATGATCAAACCCTCCCTCTCACTCCAGAATGGTGCTACCCTGGCACCCAGGCCCACTCCATACCTGCCCTTGGTCATCCCGTTCCAGCACTTGTCATCCGACGCTGAGCTGGCCATTACTTTTTTGCTGCACAGGCTGCTGGGCAGGGTGATCCAGTACGACTTGAGAGCTGTCAGATTCCCTTTGGCGTCTAAAACCTGTAAGCAAATGGGATGCTCAGGGCCAGGAGACCTCTGGGGCACCCCAGGCCAGAGGAAAGGATAAAGATTCTGCCTAATTTTTTTTTGTTTTGTTTTACCATCACAAAGTCTGTTTCTTATGAAAACAAGGACAACCTTCCCCTAAAGACCAGCTGTCAACCCAAGCACCCAAGGCTGAAGGTTACATGCCAAGAACTGCTCCAGTACCACAGGATTAACCAGGAGGAGACCATCTTCTGGGCCATGAGGGAAATGCTTAGAAGGTCCTGGGTGAGAGCCAGCAGAGCTCTGCTGAGTGAGACAGATGGGTGTCTGTGAATGAGGAGCCTCTGACATGTGGGATCATGGCAAATCCCACAGCTTGCCATCCACAGAACCCAAAATCTTCATGGAGAAGGACCTCTGGCCCCAGTGTCCCAGTTGGACTGCCTGAGGCTGAACTACACCAATGGGTAGGAGTCCCTTCAGATAAGCGTGGCCCCAAATCCCTGGGAAATCGGTTTTCAGCAACACAGACCACACCATGTGCAGAGGCAAGAAGACCAGGTCTGCTTAGCTCACACCAGAACTTGATCTGAGCTTCAGACTCGTCACTGAGCAGCCTAGGTGGTCTAACCCGACCTGCAGGACCCACAGGGGAGTGATCTCCTCCCAGGGGACACCACACACCAGCACTCCTGTCCTGGTCACTGGCAGGAGGGAGCCCTGGAGACAAACTCACCAGCATCTCCAGCGCTTGTGCAGAGGATTTGGCCTCCAATGTGACTTTCCCCCGTCTTTTCTTGTCCTCACTGCTGGAGCCTTTTGTGCTGATTTTGGGATTTCCACAGCCTTGAAACACCTGAAAAACAAATCAAACTCTCTATCCCATGTTTTGATGCTATTTCTTTAATTATTTAACACTCCAGAGTTATGGGTGTTTTTTTTCCCCATTCTTAAATATATTTATCATTCCTACCTGCAAGATCTCAGAGATTCTGGCTTAGTTTCTGGTGCCAGATGTGTTTTCAGCACATTGTAACTCATTTTGGTTACCACCATCAAGCAAAATGTTCAGCACTAACACATGCTTTTGGATGAGTCACCAATGTTGATATTAAATTATTTATAGCAATTTCATCTGTTCTTCCTATGATTGGAAAATAAAATCTTGGGAAGAACAAGATGGAAGTTGATCACATGTGTTACACCAGTGGTGTGGGCTTCAAGATTGCAGAGCATGGGAGCTCCATTGATTTGGACAACAGAGAGAGGTGGGACTATCCCCATGACTGCTGCAATCAGCATCCACACTTGGGAAACTCATGCCCTTTGAGCACGGCAGTACAAGGACAGCAGATGTGCCACAAACCAGCAGGTTGGATGTTTCAGGGACAAATCAGGCAGTGGAACTGATTTATCCCCTATCTTTGGGTACCTCCTGCCATCCTAACTACCTGCCCAGACGGGCTTTGTAGCCGGAGGTCAGAAGCAGCACTTTGAAGGTACAAATCCTCAGGTTTGGCCTCTAGGATGAGATGAATGATGTCCTGGAAGCGCCTGTTTCTCCTAGTCTCTGCTGGCAGTGACACCTCTGTTGCAAATCAGCAGTGCTGCACAGCTGAGCCTCACTGGTGGCAGGAGTGCTCAGCCAGCCAGGCTGAACAAAGCATTAGAGGCCAGGGGGCACTTTGAACTGTCAGAGTCAGAAAGCAGCAGCCTTTACAAAGAAAGCCATCTGATTTGAAAAGAGGGCTCCAAGCTTGTTGTGGTTACCAGGGTGCTGTCAGAAGCTATTGATAAATGTGACTTTGCCTGGTGTCCCCTTAGAGCAGAGGAGTCAGGACCACAGGCAGGAGCACTGCTGACACAGCTCGTGCCACCTGCTGAACGTGCTGGTGAGTGGATTCTGACAGCCATCAGCAAAGTCCTAACCTAGGCAAGAGTCCCTTCAGTGACAACGGGGCTGGTTGGTGTGTCTGAGGGACATTCAGCCTCAAAAGGCCTCTCCTGGGGTGCACTGTCCTGTTGAACCAGACAGATCTGATGACTCCAGCAGTTGAGCACCAAGCCCATTTGTTCATCCGTCCCCTTTGCTCTGTGCAAAACCCAGCCCTGAAAACTGCACGTGAAACATTTTCAACTTGGTTTTAACCTGTCCTGCTCCTTTCATCTGCATCTCTGCCCTAACTGTGGAATAGCTGCAGGGCCTGGGGAGTGTCTGGGCAAAAGGCAGAAGCCTCAGAGGGTTGCTTTAGTTCCCAAAGCTCCTCTTTCCTGTAGCTACAGAGGTGATTGTGGTTAAGTGGATAAATATACTAAAAATAGAAGACAGCTTCATGATATATACTTCTTGGAAGACAGGTGAGCCTCAGGAGAGTCTGTTCTGTACTCTGGATTGCCAGATTGCAACTCTGTCCCACGATACTACCCGACAGCCCAGTGTTTCCTCTGCAGAACATCCCCCTGAGACAGGTTAAAGCAGCTGCCTTCTTTCAGTGGGGACTGTGCACTTGCTGTAAATGCCTCAGCTCAGCCAAAAGATCTCAGGACTCTTCAGACACAGAGGCCCCTGACAGCAAATGCCACCCTGCCTCCCCCAGTCATTGCATACGCAGTCCCACTGCCTGTGTCTGTACCCAAAGGAGGCTGGTTGGATGTGTGAGGGAGCAGTATTTGGAAACACCAGAGAAGGTTTTTGCCTAAGGTGGGTGGTTTCCTATCATTAGAAGAGAGGACATTTGCTCTCTTTCACTCTTTTAGCTCAGTTGAATAGTCAGCACAAAAAGCATTTGGTCCTGGCAGTTCCACGCGGTGTGTCCTCAGCCAGGCCCAGGCACACACTCCTACCTTGGCTGTGATGGAATCTTTGTTTTCTTGCAAGTTGGAAATAGCTTCAGCAATCCTCATGTGAATGGTCCCTATTACAGTGTCCACATTGTAGGGTCCGTCGATCCGATCAGCCACCACCATCAGGGAATCTGGGGGAACAAGGCAGAGATGTCTCTCATCATCAGACTCTGCACAAACCAAGGTAAAGATCATCCTCATGCTGGGTGGAAAAAGCTGCTGGCCCCTCAGCAGGCTTGTTGGGAGACATCTCTCCATTTTCACTATTGCACAGGTTCTCCTTTTCCTTACTTAAGTAAAGCCACACTCTGTGGCAGAGGAACAGAGGTCACCTCTTGCAAATCATAAATAAAATCTGTATTCACCCAAAGTGATCAGCATTTCCTGGGGTGACACAGAAAAGAAAACCAGAAAACTGGTGCAGAAGTATTAAGAAACACACAGCAATACTTGTCCCTCCCTCTCCTAACTCAGTGCATGTCTTCAGTAAAGCACTGCAGCCAGCAAAAGGTGGGAGAAATGGGGCCAATAAAGTGCCAGTGTGGGCAAAAGCTTCCCTAGCAGTGAAGGAGTGAGAAAAGGAGTTAATTCTTCTCACTCTCACCTCTGGAAGGGCAACAGTGACCAACCAGGAAAATATCAGTCTATAAGGGCAGAGAAGCAGACCATAATGCCCACAACTAACTGGTAAACAGGACAGGGAGTGACTGAGGGTGCCTCTTGCTCTCAGCTTCTCTTGGAGGATGTCCTCTGATGTCCAGCCACTCCTGCCTGGCCTGGATGGCTGCTTTGAGACTGTGCTTGGCTTACAAAGAATTACCAAGCTCTGTCTACCTCCAGAGATGATTCTCAACACTCCAGCTGGGGCTGAAGCAAGGACAGCCCATATGCTTGCTATGCAAGGGGTGACTTTTTTTGTGTTCTGGGAAATAACATCTCGTGCAATATTGAAAAGCTTGCAGTTTAACTCTGCTGCCACTCAGAGATTATAGTGTCATCTTTGAGACTATATTTCAGACAAATGTAGCCTGCAGAGGCACTAACGTTGGAATACAGGCATTTCAATCACAGGTTGCACCCAAAAATTACTGATAAGTTATATTTGAACCATTTATATAAAAATCTCCCTTAATTTGACCTGCCCTAATTTGTCAAACTGAAAGAGTAACTCTGTGACAAAATCCTCCCTGGCCACACAGAAGGGCCTGGAGAGGGGTGAAGGATGGAAAACACTGGTGAACTGCTGCCTTTGACTCCACATTTTGCTCCTGTCCTTGATCAAATTGGGATCTCTGACACTGAAATGTACAACAGCAATTTGAGAAAACCTCCAATTTCCTCCTCACCATCACCCCTTGACAGTGATGTCTCTTGGGAAGAGGAAGCCAAAGTGCAAAATGCACATGGAATTGCTTCCTTGTCAATCAGGGGGAGCTGTATAGTGACCTTTCAGGAGATGTGCAGTCATCCTGCCTAGAGAGCTGGGAACAGTTGGCTGGCTCTGGTCAGAAAGGCCAAAGCACACTGAAGTCCTGATTAAACTCCTGGGGGAGGGAATATTCCTCCCCCTTCTTTGCAGCAGCCTCCCAGTTGCTCTCATGTGGAGCACTTCCAATTAGCCACAGTTCGTTAGGCCCAGAACAAGGTGGCAGCTGCACCTCACTGGGCAGTGGCCCAGCCTTGGTTGCTGCAGTTCCAGATCTATTTGGCAATGTCCCTTGGGAGGCAGGGGACGCTCCTGGAACTCCACCGGGATTTTCGTTGCTAACACCAGCACACGCCAACCACGAGCCAGCCTGCCAGGCTGCAGCTGGGCAGTGAGCTGGCAGCCTCGATGGACAGGCAGTGGGTGCCAAGGTAGGGGAAAAAGCCAAGTCCAAAGCTCATCTCCTCTGGTGCCTGCCTTGTGTGAGCACAGACAAACATCAAAGCTCCCTCGGGTCTCATATCACTCCATACGTAGAGCCTGAGAGAGAAAGAGGAGCTTGCTGCGTGATGCTCTGTGGGCACAAGGAGGAGGGAGAGCTTTACCACTGCAAACAACCTCCACTGAGCCTCCAACCCTCCTGTCTTTCCTTGCCAAACACCACCTCAGTGAGTTCAAAGGGTGCTGTGCTGCAGCCGAGCGAGGCCATCTTACCCATCAGGTACTTCCACTCGGTGCTCAGGTCTGCCTGGTTGGCCAGGCATCCCTTCACGACGTTCAGGCAGTAGTTGTTGCAGGGCCTCACGCTGGACATGCCCCGGCAGTGCGGGCAGTACATCAGCTTCATGATGGCGCGGGTGCACTCGTGGCTCAGGGACACCTGGGGGAGACACATCAGAGTCAGGTACACAGGCTGGTCAGGGGGCATGGGGGTGAACTGCCCCCTTGTCTGCGGTGAAGGAGTTTGGTGTGCTCTGAAAAGCAGCACAGCTGCCCAAGTGTGTGGCCCTGGGAGAGCCACTTCCCCTCTCATTGCCGTTCCTTCCCCCCACCCTTCCTTGGGTGTTACTCCTGTTGGAGGGACAAGACCTCCAAGGCAGCCAGTTCCTGAGCCTGTGTCTGAACCCAGGCTTCTGGAAAAAACCTTTAAGTGAGCATCAGCACCTCACTTCCAGCCAGGTCTGGTGGCCACAGCCCAGGCTGTCCACCAGCTGCAACCTTGACCCCTGAAGTTTCTGCAGTCAGTGCCCACCACCATGCCCCTTCTGCAGCAAGGGTTTGTTGCCACTACCCTGCGGACGCAGGTGTCCCACCACAAACTGCCTCTCCGGCTTCCTGGGGGGATGCACAGGGGGGCCCTGGACACAGAAACATCCCAGCTGGGATCTTTGGAAAGGAGAATGGTAGTGGGGGAAGGCTTGCACACTTCTGAAAATAAGGGCAATTGAGAGCAGTTGACAGTGGAAGTGGTTGCTCTCTGTGAGCACTTGAGGAGCCGCAGGCAGCCGGTGACACGGGCCAACACACGCCGTGCCAGCAGCTCTCAGGCACTGCACGTGCAGCCGGGGCCGTGCAGGGCTGACTCGGGAGGTGGTTTTGCCACCTTTAATTAAACCGCCCCGGTCCCTCAAGCACAGAGCCAGTGCAGGTGCAGAGCCCACAGAGCAGGGCCACAGCCTCTGCAGAACATCCCCCCAGACCACCAGCCATGGGACAGCGTCCCCCTCCAACTGCTGCGGGCAAGGGGCTGTCAGCGCACTGAGGGGTGAAAAACAACCTGGCAGACCCTGCAGAGAGGCTGGCAGAGCTCCATGCTTCCCCTGTCTTGTTGCTAAAGTGTTTTCTCCTTTGTGGTCTTTTTCCATCTTTACTCAGATCCATTTGCAAATCCCTTGTCAATCTTTTAAAACCATTTACAAAAATAAAAACGAGTGTCTGCATGCAAGTCTCCCTTGTTTCCAGGTACTTGACACTCACAAGGAGCTCAGAGGGGAGAAAAGTGATGAAAGGGGCAAATCTTGACATGGAAAAATCCCTGAGCCTTGAGCTGCAGCTGCAATGCTGAGAACTGCCCTGATCTCTTATGAAAAATACTTTGAACATATTCAGTTCTGAGGTACCTTTGGGAGAGTGTGAACATGCTAAGCCCAGCAGCAGAGGTTGCAAGAGAAAATCCCTAAGCTTCCCCTCTCCTGAAACTCCCTGCACGGTAGCACCCCACTTCCAGTAAGCCTCGGAAACACAGGTGCTGGATGGTGCTGAGGCTTCATCGGGCAGCAACGCTTTAAAATAACCTCGTGAGAACCTTTTTCTCGATGAGGACCAAAATTTCTAGGTCTCAGAGAGAGAACCCAAACAGAGCCTGCTTCAGGGAAGCCTTGGCAGCCAGAAGCAGCCCTGAGATGACTGTGTATAAACGCTGTGTCCCACTGTGGCCAGAGGGGGTGAGTCTGGCAGGAACCCCTCACACGCCAAGGCTTTCCTCGGCTTCCTGGGCCAGCTTTCCAGCTCCCTCCTGGGACAACTCCCGCCGGCAGATGCCGGTGCCCAGCTGCCATGCGGCTCAGCCACCAGGAGATGGAGGCTCCATCCCGCCGCACCGCACGGCTGCCACAAGCTACATCCACAGGAGAAGCGGTGAAAACACTGCACTTCCTGCCTCAGCGATCTGACAGGGGATGCAACAAAGCAGAGGGACGGGCAAACAAAAGAAGATTCTCTTTTTCATCTCAGGGTTTAAATAACCATGGCTGAACAGTGACTGAAAAGGCAACAGGTAAGAGCACAGGCTGCAGCTGCAAACCTTTCAAATCCAGAGCGCTCACAGAAAAAGCAAGGGATCCAGCTGGAGAGAAGCTGCACCCTCCCCTTCCCCAGACAGGGCATTGATGTACATGGATTTTACAGTGACACTCCAACACAATCACGTAGCCTGTGCACAACTTTGTCTCCGTGTTTTACTGGCACGGCCCGTTAATGCTCATCCCATATCCAGCCATGGCCCTGGAGCACTGTAAACTCCCACTCCACAGACCAGCTGCACAGCCCGGCACCTGCAGCACAGGTGAGTCACTGGGGTGAGCCATTTTCCATAGCACTGATGGGGACAGATCGTTTGCCTGCACCCATATTCTCCCATGGTCACACTGCGCAGCCTTTTGGAGTGCAGGGCGCTGAGGGGCTCTGGGTGGAAAGCAGGAGCACAGCATTCCCTGCAGGAAGCTGCCCTGAGGCAGTGCAGGCCAGCCCCCCGGGGCAGAGGGGACAGCCACCAGCAGCAAGGACACAAAGCTACTGACACCCTGCCAGAACCTGTGGGGTACACCGAGAGAGGCAAGAGAAACATTTTGGCTCAGAGAAGCATCTCCAAGATGCTTAAAGCTGGGTGTAAACCCAGCCCTGCACTGGAACTGCCCAGGGGTGACCACAGCAAGCCCATATTTCAGTGAAGCTGTGACAGGCTCAGTGGGCATTTCACAAATCCTGCTGCTTGCAGAATTCATTCTGGCCTCCGCATTGGCTTCATGTGTGTCAGAAAGGACCTTCCCGCCCTGAGCTCGGCATTCCCTCTCCCCCCCGCAGAGCGACCACGCAGGGCCACCCGTGCCCGGCCACACTCAGAGCTGCAGAAGGGCAGTGGCCACGAGCGCCTGCTCCTTGGTGCCCACCCACTCCATCTGCCCTCTGGCACGGCTGGTGAGCGCGGGAGCTGCCAAGGCTGCCTGTGGCACAGACAGCTGCCTTCTGTCCTGCAGCCCACCTCCCTCCAACCTCTCCTCAGCTGTCAGCCAGCCAAAACCGCCTGTCACCAGCCACACCACCCCCCACCACACCGGTGCCCAGGCAGCTATGGTGGGCTGCTGCCACCTGCCTTGGGGCAGGGGGTGCAGGCAGCAGTGGTGCCCGAGGCTCAGGCTCAGCTCCTGCGGGTCTGGGGGGGAAAAAAAAGCTGCTTCTGCACCTCAGCAAGAAACATTTCTGGATGTCAGAGGGAGGTAGGTGTGTGTGTGTGTGCACTGGCAGCCTGTCACTCTTGCAAGGTGGCTTTGTCTGCTAGAGGACAGTGCAGTGCCCCACTGTCTCAGAGCTGGGAGCCTGGCCCCTGCTCCCTGCCCCACAGTCTCTGAAGACAAGCAGGTGAAACATCCATAATCAGCTGCTACTCTGCTGAATCTGGCAGGTGCCAACTGTTTAGCTTAATCTCTTGGCAGAAAGGATAAGTATTAATTTTTTGCAGGTGCGTGACACCAGGCTTCCCTCCCTTCCCCCAGAGAATGACTCCAACCTCTCCTGTTGGCAGAAGCACTCCTTTGGCACAGGGAGGCTGCAGAGGTGAACTAAGAACAGAGGGATTAGAGAGCAGGAAGAAGTATCTCACAGAGTATTTTCTCCATGTTTTGTCTGGCCAGAGCTCAGTGTCTCATCATACCATCCAGCCCATGGACTACTGTTCCACACAGGGCACAAGGGAGTGAGGGCTTGGGGCTCCCAGAGCCCCTCCCAGCCCTGATCCTGCACCATCCCTTTGAGGGACTTACAGCATATTAAGGAATGGAGTCCTTCAAACATCTCTTAGTCCTCACAGATTACCCTGCTGAAGTTAGCTCCCAGGTTTTTTTCATGAATGCTGTATCTACTCAGGGGAGCACCAGCCCCTGTTAGGAGGTATGGATACCTCCCAGGGTATGGATACAGAAACACAAGCAGGAGAGCACTGCAGCTCCCCTGCTTGCTCACCTGTAGGGCACAGCCAGATCCAGCAGTGGCACAGGGGAGAAGAGCTCCTGGGGTTGGATATGAGGGACCATGCACCTTCCCTCCATGACAGCTCCCTCCAGAGAAATGCCCCCACAGTGGGAGTGAGGCAGTTTCTCCAGGCTGGCAAAGTCAAGACTGACCTCCACCTGCACACTGAGACACCTTCACTTCCTAATGCTTCTGCTTTCACCTTTCAGTCTTCAAAAGAACCCAAAACATTATGAGCTACCCCGTGCCCGACAGCCAGTGGGTGCCAGCCAAGACCTGCTGGAGAGCCCCCCCGGCTTCCCAGCGCAGAACTGCAGTAACTGATCGATCAATAAGCAACATCCTCCATTCACCACAGGTGGCCTGAGGGCAGGAGCATGAAAACTCCTGCAGATGGAGTGAAACCTGACATAATTGATTCATCTTTAACTGATCTGGCACAGCATGAAGACAGTACACGACAATAATTGATTTTTCTAAGTACCATCAACCTGGCCCAGCCCATGGCTGCTTCTCCTTTAAGGACACTTTAGTGGCACCTGTAGTCTTTTCTTAGCTCAGTGACCTAGAAACTGCATTAAGATGTCAAGAGAACAGGCACAATACATTGGAAAAGCCATTTCCAAAGAATATGAAAAAAAATCATTATTGAGAGGTATGGCTTGGAGCCAGGGCACTCATTCAGTTGCCAGAGGTATAAATAAAAATGCAAAACAAAGCTAAGCTCAGCTTAAAAATACATTGATTCTATGTCATTGCTCAGTTAAAATCCACATACTCAATTCTGACCCCAGTGACATCCGTGGGTACAGTCCTTTAAAGTGTACACCCAGTGATGAAGCGGTAAGGAAAAAATACTATCTTCTAAGATATACCCAAAATAGGAGACAAATCATATTGAGCAGTAAATCACTTTAATTAAATCTACTTTCCAGCTGGGGATACAGAAGTTACAATGAGGTAATGCAAGGGGAACAGGTGGCTGCCTTATGAAAAGCCCTGTTCCACCATAAGCACTGACATTTCAAGCAGGTTGTCAGCAGGTATTACCCCACGACTGTGCTTGTAGCAAGAGCCGAGCTCTGTGCTTTTCCATGGCCACTCTCCAAAGCCTGATGTGCCCATGCTTTGCTG